CTAGATTGAAATCTTCGTTAATGAGATTAATTAATGATTATTATTCATGTTCAATCCAATCATATATTTATTTGATAGATTTTGATAATTCTTCCCAAATTGTCTTCAGCATTGATTCGGTTTGAGAGACCAAGAATTTAAAATCAGTTATCTGTTTGGTTAACTTGATAGTCTCATCAAGTTTTGAGTCTTTTAATTTCTGAAATGCTTATTTTTGAAATATCCTTATTGGAACTGTCTATTTCAAATCTACTTCATGTTCATACTGGCATTCAGCACAAAGTTTTCTTTGACACTAACATTTGTGGGGAGCTATACATACAAATGCTATAGGATTTCCAATGTGATTAGGGCAAATTATCATATTTTATTTTTAATATTGAATTTCTATTACTTTAATTTTAAGTTATATACTGTTAAATTGATAAAAGCATATTTTATTTTTGTAAAATAGAGGTTCAAATTTTGTTTCAATTTGGTATTGTTTAAAATAGATATGAAATAGGCTATTAATAAATCAGTTCAACTTATGTAAAGATTGATTTTTACATAATATAGAATATCTTTATTTTGATATGAATATTGTAATTTATACATTTTTTGAATTCAATAATTGATAGATTAATTCTTCTTTTTCTTCATCTCTGTTTAAGCATAATTAATGATTTCAGTTATAAATTTAAATTTTTCTGTTTTTTCTTTAAAATACATTTAGATAAGTGAAATCATGAGTAAGAGAGTTAAAGTTAAAAAATTAGATTGTTACTAAGTTGTAATAATAAATATGAGTAGTTTTTTCTAGTATTTTCTTGAATAGAATTCTTCTCTCCCTTCATCCGTCTTGCATAGGGATTTGGCTACTCCTTATTCCAGCTGAGATTATAAAGAAGAGAGAAAGTAGATGAGGAGGATTAAGCTTAAGGAGAAGATGAAGAAGGAGAAAAATGAGGAATTAAAATTATCTGAAAAATATATAAATTGTATTTATTAAGAAGATTGAATTTCTAAATTAAATAATAATAATTTAT